AAGATATGTTAAAAGTGGGGAAGGTGGTTAGCACGTGGGAAAGATGGGTTAGACGCGTTATCAATAAGGATCCAAAAAACTTTTCGGATATGTAATTTGGTAGTTTAAAATTTGGGTCCAAATACTCTGCTTAATTTCATAAATTCGCCATGATGTAACTACGGTATAATATACAGATCTATATATTGTTAAACCAACCATCAGACTTAGGGTTGCTTGTGCAAAAATAACTTAATAGCGTATCAACGGTGTACCATTAAGGCATGGAGCACCATTTGTACACCACTATGTAATATTGTTTACCCCCTGGCCAACTCCATCTATGTAACTTTTTTCATATACTTATTTCTACTAGACATATATCTATTTAATTTAGGTAATTGAGTATTATCCTATTTAATATTAAATGTCAAAAACAATGCCTAAAATAAAAGTTTCTCTCTAAAAATAAGTACATGAAAGTTATATTGCATAGATGGCTGGAAAGATCAGTTATATCTTGTGTAGTTGGATATAACTATCATAAATGTTCTTATCATAATTATTTGTCAAAGTTTCTATTTTGCATATTGGACGTAAGATCGAAAATCATTGTCCAAGCAGGGATAAAACGACATATAGTAAATGGTGGCCATTTACTGTGTCATGGCCAATTGTTAAAGTTTCTTTCTGATTCATCGAAATTAATATGAATCAAGAACGATACTTATTGAATGCTGCCATTTAATATACCGAGATGTCATTATAGCCCTGCCCTAGTGGTGGGAACCCCAAATAATAGGTTCCGTATCATTTCACCGACAATCAATTCATCGAAACCGCCCTAGCATACCCCTAAAAAAAAGTTGCGAAATTGAGTTTAAATTTTTCCGATCAAAAGTTTCGTTTTCAAACTTATACGAATTATAAGCCATATTCTCCCCTACGCTTTGCTTAATAGTAGAAAAATGATATTGAAAATTTATACACACTACAATTTGATTATATATATGATATAAGGTGATTGGGTCCATATCGAAAGTTTATTAATAACTTAAATCGAGTGGATTTATTATAGACTGATTTTGGGATGACTTTCTTATATCGAGAGATTAATTAGCTTTTCTTATATTGAATGTTTCTTATGTCGAGAGAGAGTCACTTGTATGTATTAATTGTTTCGCTATAATGAATTTTGCAGAATAAATTTATGCGTTTTAATGATTGTATTAGCTATTTTGACAAACTATTTGTACTATTTATGTATTATTTGTAAATGTAAAAAAAAAAAAACTATAATAATTTATTCCTAATAAAATGTATTTTTATTTCTTTCCGCCCACGTTTTTGCATTTTTAAACCCTTCGTTCAATTGATTTAAAATTGGTCCGATATTTTTTAGCCATTTTTTTGCTAAAGAAGCTTTGTTTTATATTTAAAATTATTAAATTATAAATAAATAGTATATCTCATTTAATGTTTTTGATAACCGTTCAATAATTTCAATTGCATTTTCATTCTTGCTGAAATTTGTTTCATAGTCTGTTTCGTCAGCATTCATTTCATTATCTGAAGTTGGATTCATATTTTTACATCATAAATTTGTAAAATTGTTGCTTATTACCGTATACAAGATCCTCCCATATATCAGACCCATCCCATTTTTTACTAATTATTTTCTTTTTTTTACTAATTAATTTTTTTTGTGGAATGTAAGAGACCCGGGTCTTTTATACGGCAGTTTACGGTACTTTGTCTTCCTTAATTAACTTCCAAATCATATGATCAGTTTTGGATATAAGCAGATTAGTTTTTATTTCGATATACCTTTAAAGTTTAGTTAAAAATACATACATATCAATGGCTTGTATTAGATTACTTGAAGAAATAGAATTTTCTTTTGTTAAAAGTTTTTTATTGTTTTTTCATACCGCCGTTTTGAGTTTGTCCTTGCATGCTCTAAGTACTCACTGCAGCTCCTTTTTTCTTCAAAAAAAAAAACTTCAATTTTTTAAACAAGTGGCAGTGCTTGATTATTTCTTTGACATTTTATAATTTAACCAGTGATTTATCTAGTTGTGTAGTATTCGTAAAATAAAGAACTTACATTCGATATTAAATTTTTGATAGATAGTTAGAATTATCGAAAGCTTGCAGCAAAAAAAATAATTTATTTTTTAATTATTATTACTATTGTGCACGATGTATAAATAATAGCATTTTTTAGATTTAAATATTAATTCGATGTAACCTGATTTTTTTATTAAAAATTAATAATACTTGGATTGTGTAAAATACAATTTTATTCTTATTTTTTTAACGTTTAAAAAATTTACTAGATAAATTATACTATTTGCAATGATATGACTTTATTTACAACAATATTTTAACAAACGTTATGTTATTTAAGCGATATTTAATATAAATTATTTATTTGTAACCAAAAAAGCGATAATCTATTTTAAAAAAAAATAATAATTAGTAAATATTAAAATACAGTAGTCAAATATTATATTGCTTATCACGCGAAATTCCAAGTCCCGACTAGACACTTCCACAAAGCCAGTAACTGCACTAACACTTGCCAAAGGGCCAGTAACTGGTTCTACTCACTTGCAAAGGGCCAGTAAAAACTCGAAAGCCTACTTAGACACCCTTATTCAAGCCAGCATAAACCTATACATGGGCACCTAAATTTCTTCGACAAAATGCTGAAATAGTCCAAGCTTCTGTAAGTTTCTCGTGTTTGGTCGAATTGGTAAGTTTCTCGCGTCTGAACGAATCGAATATTGTAATCTTATTTTGGCAATTAGCTGGCGACTTGGTTCTTAACAAAATTTATAATTGCTGAAATTATCCGTTTTTTTAAGCTCCGTATGTTGTATATCCGAGTAAAACGACTTCTTGAAACACCCATATACAGATAAAGCGTAACTTAGACACCCTTATCAAGCTGTAATACTAATAGCCGACTAGACACTTTCTGGAAGCCAGTACAGACGGACAAAGAAATTCTCGTAATAAGCCAAGGTTGCTTGCTTTAAATAAGACATACCAGTACAAAGTGATAAATCACAAATGTCCCGATATATATCTATTTAGAAAAGAAAGTACATAACTGATTCCTCTTCCGGAACCAATAGACTTTAATAGACGTCTTAAATTAAAGTAAACAACCTTCTGTTTCCAAAGTCGTTTACAAACATAATACTGACCTTTGTTGACGCGTTCAAAACAAATTACTTTAAAATAAAGGTAAAAAGTGTATTTCTTAAAAGCAAACTAGCATAAATAATTATTATTTGTAACAAGAAAAAAAAGAGGTAGTATTGTAAAAAACTAAAAGGTAGAGAAAAAGATGCAAAATAAAATTTAATTTAGGGGGACGCACTTGTTTATTTACAAAATCGGATTTCCTTTTTGGGTTAGCATTAACCAATCAGTGTATTAGATTTCACGAAGCACGTACACATTGTGATATTTTGCAAAACTGATTACGTAATTTCATGTAAAAAATATTATGGCGACATTATAATCTGTGCTCGGTTATGCATGATTATGCATGATCTACAAATCAGATTTGAGAATCAGGTGTAACGT